GCTATTCCCTTCCCTCGCGAGTCACGCACCACCACTGAGGTCACAGTTGACCTTGTACAACTCGATCTTCCGTGCCCTCGATCGATCACAGTTGGACGTCTCAGGCGTCCGACAATCTTTTGCAACCATCTTACAACTATGTCTTGACCCTCGGCCAAAGGTGCGGAAACGTGCCGCTGACCTTGTCAACGACGTCTTGTCGAATCCACCGAGCCCGCTCTTACGCCATCCTTATGCCGAGCGCGTTGCTGAATGGATGCAAACCTCTCTCCACCAAGCCAGTTCGGGCGTCCTTCCAAAAACGAAATCTGCTAGCAAGGATTCCTCCTCTGCTGATACTTCCATTCATCTTCTCGCTTTACTGCGACCGATCTTACCGAATCTTCCCCTTGATGTGAGCTCCGTGTTCCAATGTTCGAAATAGCCCCTGACGGCATTAAAAGGCCATCCCACCTATCACGACTGTTCTACTTACTCTTCCGAGACTGGGTAACCCTTATCTTTCACAGTCATCGTACTCCATTCTTTCCGATTTACTCACCGCTTCCGTCGACTCGGGGACACGAAGCAGCACTGAGCAAATACCTGCAGTCCTAACCGCCGTACTTGCATCCTCACCGCCAAAATCCGAAACCACTATCACTCCGTCGTGGGTACGGGTTCTAGGCGATGTTATGCTCGCTTATCACTCTGGGGATCCGGAGGCGTGCACTGGCGAGTTTTCTAAAGTATGGAAAACTATCTGGGCTTTCTTCGAAGCAAGTCATGCGCAAACCCGAAAGGCAGTTGCCGAAGCTCTTGGATCGCTTACGCAGTGTATTACGCTTCCCATGGTGCAAGCTGCTATCAAGGACACTCCAAGTGGCAAATCTGCCCTCCAAAATATCATCACACAAATCACGAAAGCTTTGGATTCGCTAGCTTATGCGCAGGCCATTCCGGAGCTTCTTCATGTGGTTTCATCACTTATTGTCAACCTTGATATCCGCATTGAAAGCGGAAACTCCACGCTGGCAGCCGAGGTCTTACTTATGCCGTTGGTGCAAAAAATTGCTGATCTCAGGATCCAGAAGAACTTCGAGCATAAGGAGGCGGCGGATGCCGTCTTATCGACGGCGATGAGAATTGTTGGACCTTCCGTGTTGCTCCAATCTATTCCGCTGAATCTTGAGCCACAAGATCGGTTCGTGTACATTACACTCTAGTGTTCTCTTACTGAAATATGCCACAGACAAGCTGGACGCGAACCGCGCGCTTTTCTGCTGCCAATGCTTTCGCAGCCCCATCCTTCTCCATTGGGCCATTACGTCTCCTACTTCGTTCCTCTAAGTGAACGGATGTTCAATCTTCAACAAAAGGCAGACTCAGAAGGCAGGCAGTCCGAGGCGAAAGTCTGGAGCGTGCTTGTTTCCCAAGTGTGGGCTGGCTTTGCGGGATACTGTCATGCCCCCGTTGACGTGGAAGATGTGAGATCTATTCTTGTCCCATCGTGCTGTTGACGCTGAATGAACTTATAGGCACTCACTCCAGCGTTCTCGCAACTCCTCTCGCAGCTCTTGTACACTCAAACTGATCTCCGACTCCCAGTACTGAAGGGCCTCAAGGTCTTGGTCGAATCTACCTTCGCTGCCTCTCAGACCGATCCAGCGGATGAGACCCCGCTTTCAGGGGGCTCGATCACTCGAGAGGAAGCAGCCCGGAACGTCGCTTTCCTAAAGAGTCAAGTCGAGAGCTGGTTTGCTGTCTTCTTCAATGTATTTGGCAGCGTCGACAGGGACAGCAGGGGTGCTGTCGGAGACGTTATAAGCGTCTGGGCGAACCTCGCCGACCCGCAGGAAATCTCAAAAGCCTACCGTAAAGTCGTCGAGCTATTCCGCCAGAACCTCCAAAAGCTTGCGAACGCTCCGGATGCGCAGCAGGGTGGAAGCTTGACAGCGATGACCCAAGACCTCCTCATATTGCTGCTACCTTTCCTGGAAGCACCCGACGTCTCATCATTATTCCAGACCTGCCTGGCGGAAGAGGTGCTGTGTTGCAGGGATAACGGCGTACAGAAGCGAGGTTACAAGACCCTTGCCAAACTGCTGAGCGGTGGAAAAGTGCAAATCGATTCGCTGGTCACCTTCCATCAACTCGATGGGTTCGCGACTGGACTCTCGCCGGCTGCTAAGAAGGATCGGTTCGTCCTGCTAGCGCAGCTCATCCCAGGCATTCCATCAACGTCGCTGCACGTCATCCCATCACTAATTCCCGAGGCTGTTCTGGGGACCAAGGAGCCTTCAGAAAAAGCTCGCGCTGCTGCTTTCGATTTGATCGTGGCTATGGGCCGAAAGATGAATGAGGGAGGTGTGGTCAAGAGGCAGATGGTGGATGGTATGGACGAAGATGGCGCTGGCGAAGGTTTGTGCCTTATGTCTTACCTGACTTCCGTCGTGTTGACGCAGTTCATTCAGCGGGTGCCAGTATCAACGAATACATGACCATGGTTGCTGGAGGTCTGGCTGGGGCGACACCTCACATGATCAGCGCCACGGTTACCGCGATCTCTCGGCTCGTTTTCGAGTTCAAAGGTCTGTTACACGGCACCCCTTCCTTCATATACGCTGACTCTGTTTGCAGATACTATCGATGCACAGATGCAGACAGAAATCTTCTCAACTCTTCTTGTCTTCTTGTCTTCCGCAAATCGCGAAATTGTCAAGTCCACGCTCGGCTATGTCAAGCTTGCCATCCATACGCTACCTGCCGATCTTTTGAGGCCGCACTTGCGCGACTTGGTACCAGCGCTTCTGGCATGGTCGCACGACCACAAAAATCATTTTAAGGCCAAAGTGCGCCACATCTTCGAGCGGATGATTAGGCGCTTTGGGTGGAACGACGTATATCAAGCATCTGGAGAAGACGAAGCCTCTAAGGTCCTTGTCAACATCAAGAAACGGAAAGAGAGGGCTAAGCGTAGGAAGGCTCGTGAAGACGAGGCAGAAGATGACGACGAGGTATTGTGGGTTTTTGCATCTGTTTGATCGTTTGCTAATTGGTATCCAGGCACCTACCGGCAAGGCGGCGACAGGCGATGCGTTTGAGGATGTCTTGTATGGGAGTGAGAGTGAGCTCGATGACAGTGACGATGAAGAGCGGGTTACTCGTACTGGTGGGTCCAAGCGTAAGGGAGGAGACCAAGGCGTTCGGCTCAGGGTGGATGACGATGAGCCTATGGATCTTTTGCAAGGCGCTGCGTCACGGATCACAAGTATGTGCCTCCTGAATTACTTTCTATGGGCTTCCCTGATGTCTATGAAACAGACGCGGCAGCTGACCGCCGAAGGAAGCCTGGGCAAGATGCCACCCGCTTCAAAACTGACGCCGACAGTGGGAAAATCGTTATCCCTGGCGAGGAGTCTGATTCGGACATCGAGGTTAGCGCTCGCAAGGCCGCCAAGGACGTGGCAGGGAGCGCCTATCGAGAGAGCATCACCTCTGTGGATGGCTTCACGCGTGGTCCTAACGGTCGTATAAAATTCAACAAAGACACGAAGAAGCGCCGACGAGAAAATCAAGATGACGAGGGAGATGTTGAGATGGCTGACGCTGAAACGGCAGTTGACACCAAAAAGAATAAGCGACGATCTGATGTCAAGCTTGGTCACGAGTTCAAGGCGAAGGTACGTTGTCTGCGTCAATGTCACTGCAGTTACTTACCGTGATGTCGAATGACAGGGAGCTGGAGGCGACGTGAAGAAAGGAGGAGTTGACCCTTATGCTTACCTACCTTTGTCGCAAGCCGCCAAGAAAAAGGGTCGCAATCAAATTGGGATCGCGGGGAAGCGGTGATGGTTGTGAATTGGAACATGTGTTTTACATTTTGTTGTAATCGATGCTATCTCTCACCCGTATAGTGTCTGATCATGGGGTGTTCCGAAAAGCCCATGGCCCCATGATGTGGGTTGTGTCCACTCGGGTGTGGGTACGCTCTTTTCGAGTACCTTGGCCACAACTAGTGCCAATAGGTGTGCATCTGCCCTGTTGTCCCCTTCCATCACGTATTGTAAGAGGCATACCGTTGGTATCTGCCATGAGCTCGGGACCGAGGATAGTATTCGCCGTGCAAGACCACCGCCAGGAATAAACGGAACGGCGGAGGAGTCGCTTTCGGTCTGCAAAAATTGGGGAACTGGCGAGAAATAAGGGGGTATTGGTAAGGTGGTCAGGGATTTAAGTGGAGTTGAGGCTAGGGATTGTGATGCCGAAGGTTGAATGTAAGTTGTCGGTGTGCTGGAAAAGAATTCAGGTGGTAATACAGCACTAGGGAGAGATTTACACCTACAGCATTTGTGAATCTGTTCTATTGGACATGTCCACGCCTCCCAGAAAGATCACCGCAGATACACCCGAAGTTTCAATGAACTTCAACAGGTCATCACAAAAATTTTGTTTGAAGGACTGAGAGTTTTGGACCGTGAGCAGCGACGTCAGGCCTCGGGGCAACCTCACCTACTTTTAAAACAGGGGAGCGCTGTTGAACAATTGCCAAATTACTACTGTCGCTTCCAAACACTAGATGGGGGAGGACGCGTCACGAGGAGACATCTGGTTAGCACTGATATACGTACGTTCGAGAGGTGTGGTTATGCCAGGCGCGTCATCTTCGCGAGCACCAACAGCTGGTACCAAGTATTTTGGATCGAATACACCGACACGATCAAGATTGAGAGACGCGATGAACAGATCTGCCGCTAACTGTGCGACATTTGCCACAGATACTATCGGCTGTCTAGAAGATTACATCGTTAGGTGAGGTGCATATTTCTGTCACGTACTACAATAAGTATCTTTCCCGTGAGCTTGTAGCTGGTGGTGGATCGATAGAACGACATATGTATGAGGCTGTATGATGGAGTCCAAGGTAAAAGGAGCTTACCTGGTGGTGACCTTCAGGGGGAATGATTGGCGGGGAAACTGTCGGTGATATCTCTTGAAGGCAAATCTTAGAGGATAAAATGTCTCTGGTAGTATATCGGATAGTACAGCCGCCTGTCATTAGCATAATCTGCTAGGATCGCGGCAGAGCTGGGTTCGACTCCCAGCCAGAGAGACCTTTTTTGACATTCTATTTTAGAGTTTTTTATTCACCAAACTGCTGTAGTCACGGTACTATAAGCTTTTGATGGGGAGTCGTGGTGCTTGGACATTAATAGTGAGCTGGGGATTGGGCCATTGGTGTCATGTGTGGACCTTCCTGAGATCTGCAGTGGTTGCAGCACTCGATAGCAACACGGGCGGTCATGTACACTAGCATACCAGCGCTGACCGCGTTTTCAGGTTAAGAGCTGAGATGGAGATGGAGATGGCATTAATTAGACAGAATCCAGATACATAAAGTATATCTACATGAAACATGATATAGTGAGTCGAAAGCCGTCGATCTTTAGCCCCTATTAGAGTGTAAAGCCGCAAGACCTGCGTGACCACGTATGTTAAACGCTCTCTGTAGTTCCATTCCAGGAAACGGTAGCGGTGTACATGTACCGCGTAAGGGGATTGGAGTTGTTGACAGTGGCGTGGAACACCATGAAGTTGCCGTCTGGTGTTGAAGTTGCACCGCCCGGGGAGGTCAGATTGTAGTCCCCAGTAACGAGGAGCGGCGAAGAAGCCCGAGTATAAGGCCCAGAGACGGATGTTGCTGTCGCGTAATTGATGTCATAGAGGTCTGAATTGTAGCAATTTGAAGAAAACGAGAGAACATAGCTTCAAGACACGTCCAGGTACGTCAGACGAACAATGAAAACAGAGTAAACGATCGGCTACTCACGTTCCCTCATGGAGTATCAGCACAGGAGCTTCGATTAAGGGGCCATCGGACTGGATCCTATCCAATATCTGGACTGGGTTCCCAGTCGGTGTCACACCGTCTGCTTCCATCTGTTGGAGCATGATAGGTGTGGAATATTCGCCGTTGGCGTTGCCGCACAAACCTCCACCACCAAGGCTGCTACCGTCGACTTTGTACACGATATACCGTGTACCGTTGGTATCCTGGAACCCCTGCTGGGTCGATGGTTCCTCCGCCTGCTGTTTGACAGGCTATGGGCTGAGATTCGGGAGAGTAAGGTCCAACGGGATTGGTGGATGTAGCAGCTCCGATGCAATGGGTGTTTTGTGATGGAGACCACGCAGCGTAGTCTGTATGAACGTGGATCTGCTTATCTAGACAAACAGCAAAGAAGAACTATGACTTACACATGACGAACGTCCCGTTTCCGAGCTCAATGACATCGGGGGCCCACGTACTTCCTGTCGTCGCCCAGGAGCCAACATTGGGAAGGGCATCGACACCACTCTGCAGCTGCCATGTTGAGCCTCCGTCGGGGGAGGTCGCAACCTGTATATTCACAGAACCCGAGTTGGTGGCATAAGCGTGGGTGCCCCCTGATGTGATGAGGACAGCTGGATCGGGGAAATTTTCAGATATGACGGGACCGCTTACAGCAGCGTAGGACAAGGGGATAGTTGCAAGGAATGCGAGGGCCACGAGAGGTCGACTGATGCGAAACATGGTGTTACTATGTTTCCTGCGAGTACAGTAGGTGTACGGCCTACTTATACTTGTATTACAGCGCTTTTCATCATCATCATCATATTGGTGCGGAACCACTCCAACAAGCTATGCATTGAGCTTTGTTGTCATGGGGCACGATGGCTGTGTGGCGACCCCGGACAGAGCGCGCTCGTCGTGAACGACGGCGTTCAGGCAATCCTGGGCGGCGAGCGGGGTGAGGATCGGCTACTTAGCTACATCATCACCTAGAATCTAGATTGGATAGCAACGCTCATGACCAATCGGTGCCGACGCTGACTAATCCTACTTCGTTCCGAATCGTTTCGTGCCCCAACCCAACCCCAACCTGCCCCAACGCTATATAGCTATGTAGTTGCTTTGTTTCACGATTCTGAATTAATACGAAAAACACTGTATTAATGTTGCGACGGCGCAGTGATAACAATGCATCGTGGATCATGCTGTGTGCTCTACGTCAGTGCGAGCGCAGCAGATTGGACGCATTTGGAATATGTACGACGTCCTGTTCCAATGGTAAGTAGTGCCGAGATGGCGCTGTGGTGCACTGGAGGATGTGACCATGGTTGTTACTAAGCTGTCTTGCGGCGTCTAACGCTCACTCCATGCATCTCCCTTCGAGTGGCTCTGTCATGGTCAGGGTGCCATGGTAGCACAGCCGTTACTCGCTGTGAATGTGCAGCCAGCCATGTCAATATTCAATGCGAAACTTGTTATGAGAATAATGCTCGTGACCTCTGGAAAGTGAGCACTAATCAAGGTCCGGAGACTGCAGGTTCAGATTCGAGGCGAGGTGCCCAAAAGGTCTTACCCCGCCCAGCATCAAAACCCTAGTACCGTACAACACGATACAGTTGGCGAGTCGAAGCACTGTGAGATGAGATCATCTAATCCTTTCAATGCTTTCGCGGAGAGCACGCTAAGAGTGTAGTTCCATTCCAAGTGACTTAACTCTAGGTGCAATATCGGAATATCACTGCTTCAGCTTCTCTACCATCTCTGGCACAACCTCGAAGAGGTCTGCAACCAGTCCAATATCAGCCACTTGGAAAATAGGAGCATCGGCGTCCTGGAAAACATCAGAAAGCGGCAATTTAGGGACGGTCAAATACCAATACCTTATTAACAGCGACAATGAGTTTAGAATCCTTCATTCCGGCAAGATGCTGAATTGCCCCTGATATACCAAGTGCCATGTACAGCTCTGGGGCAACAACTTTGCCAGTTTGCCCCACTTGTAACGAGTTGTCTGCATATCCCGCATCAACGGCTGCACGCGAAGCACCGACTGCAGCCCCAAGGACATCCGCGAGTGGATACAGAGTAGCCTGGAAAGTCTCTGCGTTCTTGAGGGCACGTCCACCAGATACGACACGACTGGCGACACCCAAATCAGGGCGGTCCGATTTGGTTAACGAGGTGTTGACATGTTCAGAGAGGGAATCAGAAACTTCCACAGGATCAAGGGTCTTTGCCTCAGCTTCTGCATCACCTGATACAGCAGCGGAGAAAGCGGTCGATCGAACCGTAAAGAATTTGATAGGTATGGAAGATGATGCTCGAACGGTTGAAATGGCATTCCCTGCGTAGATTGGGCGGGTGAATGTCGTGCTGTTGGAGGATGTGTCATGTTCAACTGACGTGATGTCGGACACGGCCGGAACATCGAGTCTTGCTGCAACTCGAGGTAGAATAGATTTGGCAGATGAAGAGTGTGCGGAGACAACGTGGGTGAATGGCGAATTGTCTGATAACAGCTTCTCCAAAAGTGGGGTGAGGGTTTCAGGTAATGGTGTGGTGTATTGTGGGGACGCAGAATGTAGCAAGGCATCTAGTCCTTTGACCCTGGTTTGACGGGGCGTGTTAGCAGCCACGGAAAGGCAGCCCACCCAAAGCTTACTTCTTGGCCTTCTCCAATACTCCTGAAACTTGATCGGGGCTTCCTACAATGAGACCTGTGACCTTTCCGCCTAGCTGGGTAGCTGCCGTCAACGCAGAGAGAGAGCCGGAGTCGAGTTCGCCCTGTTGGTGCTCTAAGAATACAAGAGCGTGTGGAGATGAAGCAGTTGCATATCTTCTGACGAGCGCTCTGCTCAAGGTCGACGTTCTTGCACGAAGCATGGCGGATTCGCAGATTGCGATGAGCAGTGGTGCAAACGTGAATCTTTCGGACGGACCACTTGTGATCCATTTTCAGCCAAGTGAAGTCACATTTCAACTCCGCGCAATCATGTGTCTTCCGAGTCTTTCGTCCAACCTCGAGCTCCCTATCGATGGTCTCAACGTTCTTGAAGGCATAGCTCTAGGAGTGTTCTCCTTGGGTTATAAAACGGTTCCATAAAGGTAAATAACTGTACAGGAACCCCCACGCAGCGCAGCACTAGGCTGATGTGATCGTCGCCTTCCAAACAAGTTGATAAGGTTAATGGCGTTCGAGTCATTGATCAGTTTTTCAAATTTCTTCCTCACATGGTGTTTCTCTCTCTAAGTATATCTAGAGAAGATTGTGCGTATCATTCACAGATGCGTACGTCCTCACGGCCACCACGCTGTACGGTTTGTGGGTCCGCACGGAGGTTCTAGCATTCTGGAAGAGCCCTTATCAGTAGATACTTAAGCTGGGGATCTCGAGTTTCTGCTCTCTAGACTTTAAACAATGTCACGCCCTCCTTGTCGATATATGAACTCACCAGGTGGTTGCCGCCGTGGCGACCAGTGCCACTTTGCGCATTCGCGTACTACAGGAAACAACGACAATAATCGCCAAAATATTCACCCAAGCGCCTCAGGTTCCTCTGCCCCACCAGGGGTTTGCAGAAATTATTGGGAGCAAGGCCGCTGCAATAGGGAGTTCGACTGTCGGTACCAACATACTCGCAAGCCCGACGGAACTGCTCCGCAGGCCAGACCCAAGCTCGCAATCACGCCTTCGGAGACCGTTTTACAACGGCTGGCACCTTTCTTGACTGAGGAAGGACTGTCGAAGATAAATGGAAGCGGAACGGACGGATTTTTCTCTCAGGATTTCTCTGTCTCGTTAACCCCATCTGAAGCCCATAATAGCTTGAAGAGATTTCTCCAGGACAACTTCCGGTTCAGGAGCACCTTTGAGGTGTACGCTTTCTTGAAGCCATTAAATAGTGCGAATGCTTCGAACACGAACTGGGTAAGACAGATAAAATTCGTCGTCGTAAGATTGTTAAAGAGCTTTAAACAGAACCAGGAAGATGGTCAAGTGGGTGGCAATTACCCCTTTTTATTCCAGCTGATGTATATCCCACCTTCGCGACCAGCTTCTTTTGAACACCATGACCTCAGTGCGTAGCTCTCAGGTCGATACGCCGATCTCATTCTCATTACTCCCTGCAGCAAAATGGTCTACTGCGTTTAATCGATATCATTCGTTGGCCTCGGGTATCTACTCATGCTGGATCCAGTCGCGAGATTCTGTCATTCCAGCGAGGCACACTACCCCTGCTTAGAGTACGCTCATCTTTCCTTTTGCATAACCATGTCGA